GCTACTCACAAAAAGGGGTCCAGTGTCAAATTATTTTTACTGGGTAATAAAATGACACCAAACATCAATTAATTACCTTGTGCTGGGTATGTACTAACTACTTTATACTCTGTATCTCATATGTCTCATTACAGCTCCGAGGGAGGCATAGCTGTCACTTTTGCTTAACAGGTGACAAGCCCCAGGAAAGGAATTTCAAGCTACGTCACACTGTCTGTTCACATGGCGAACGGAGATGGCCCCTGGGCCCACCTCATGCTCTGTGGGATAAGAAGTCCATGGTCCCATGATCGTTGTAAAAACTCAACTATCATCACTGATAGCAGTAGTCTCAGAGATCTTACAGACAAGTTCTTGACTATAACCTTTAAATTCTTTATTACATTCCTCCTCAGAACCAGAAAAAACACACACCTTCTTTTCCAGTTGATAATGCGTGTAACTTCTCTTTTCCAAAATTGAATGGTCTTTCTCTCAGTCGTTTTGTTTTCAAGTTCCCCCACCTGTCAGCTCTCAGAATTCATTTCATGGTGATTGTTGCGTTCCCTGAAATGATGGAGACCACAGGCTCTCTCTTCTTGGACATTTCACATTTTGATTCAGCCCTTTTTGTCTAATGGCAGCCTGGCTGTCTCCACAGGGAGGCTGTATTATGGATTCCTTCAAAGGACCAATCTGTTACTCAATATGGGTTCAGTTGAGATCCTGACACTGGCTGGTTGTGTGACTGTAACTGAGCTAGCTTTTGAGCCTCCATTGCCCCATCTGAGAAGTGGGGTAATCATACCATAACTCCCAGGGTCATGGTGGACCTATGTGAGATGATGCATTGAACTCCATGCTTCACAAAGCCATGCTAGTTTTTAAAAAAGGTTAAGCTACTTTTGGCTTTTAGGCTTCTTAAAAGCCAAAAACTATAACTTGGTGACTCCCAGAAATTATTGCTGAGTAAGATTTCTATATCACTAATTGTATTACTTGGCAAATTATTTTGAAATGTTGTCTTTGCCGATGTTTTTCTTGTAATAACTTCTTTCTCTTACAAACTTTTATTTAAAATTTTGTAACAGTCCTTGGTTTGTCTCCTGGCTCATGGTTGATGTCATGAAAATCTGAGAGCCTATGATCTTACGGCTTCATAAATGGGCCACTTTTTATTTTTTTTCTAAGCATCAACATTTAAGACAGAGAGTGTTAGTTAATGAGGGAAGACCGTCAACCCACTTTGACCCATGAAACCTTCCTTGTTTATTAAGTACCAAGGCTCACTCACACCATTCTCCATAGCCTTAGGACTATTTTAAAGCATGAAAAAGGAGGAAAATATTTTTCATTCTGGAAACGCAATTATTTTTGTGGGATTTTTTTTTAAGTTGGTAACTCATCATAAGAAAATTTTATGGTTTTGCTTATAAAGTAGCAAGATCGAGACTAAACAAATATTCCAATCAGCCTGTCCACCAGCTGTCTCACTGATGTTAGTTAGGAATGTGTAGTTTTGATAAAGGGAGATGAGTAAAATTCTTTGTCTACCTTTTGGTCTCTTGGTCATATTTTATCCTTGTTTTATATCAACTATTCCAAAGATGCTTAAAAGTAGAAAATACAGAAGCCTCATAAAAATCAGACTCAAGGGGGGAGGTGAGGTGCACAGGATCAGAGCCAGGGTGAGGCAGAAAGAGGGAAAGATGAATGGTTAGCACTACTGAGCCCAGACAAATGGGTGAGCGCTGAGAAGCCTCAAATTCCCTTCATTCTACTGGGGAGCTGGTTAGACAGAACAATGTGCTACTGTCTACCTTGGAAACCAGGAGAAAGGATTGACTTTCACATTCTTATAATAGTTCAACTTCCTCCAGTACAAAGTGAAATACCACTTCTTAGCTCAAGAAGCGTATATGTAATATCGAAAAAATCTTCAATCAAAATCAAGTTTTAAGTTATGCGTAAATGCATACAGGTCTTTGATTGATATGCATAACCCATGGACACAGACAATAGGCTGCTGAAGACCTGGGGCAGGGGGTGGGGGGCGGGCTGGAGGATGTCAAAGGGATTAAAAGGGGGACATATGTAATACTTTCAACAATAGAAAATTATCTTTTAAAAAAATCAAGCTTTTATGGTAAATACCCACTTGGTGCGGCTTGCGGAGATCAGGAACTGTGTGTGGTGTCCACTCCTCATCTTGGCTGGGGCCTGACATTCACAGTGAGTCTGAGCTTTCACGTGGTCCAGAACATTTTGGACAGGCTCATGCCTGTCGGCATACTTTCTGATCGGCCGCAACACCGGCTCCAGAAGGAAGACAGTGCACAGAGCAGGACGCCCCGGCAGCTGCTAGACAACCCGGCGGATAAAGCTAAGTCTGCAATGTCTCTTCAACCTAAAGATCTTGATTTCCTCTGACAGCCTCTGGTGGAGTCTAGACACTGGGGCAAAGACAAAAGGGGCCAGTATTGCTTAAAAAACAACCACCAAAACGCTTGAAATTCTTGGTCATCTGTTAACCTTTTCAAGCAATTGTTTTGCAGAAAAAGAACATTTAACACTTAGCAGGGTTGTTAGTCATGGCGAAATATCGACAGCAGCCCTGAAATGGAAAATTAGGTATATATGCGGAAGTGTGTTTCTGTGCAAGGGAAAGAGGCCTCCCCTCCCCCCTCTCATCTGAGTTTCCTTCCTTTAGCCTTCTGATAGAGATGCTAGGGGAGAGCCGAGACAGCTGTTGCAGAAAAAGAACATTTAACACTTAGCAGGGTTGTTAGTCATGGCGAAATATCGACAGCAGCCCTGAAATGGAAAATTAGGTATATATGCGGAAGTGTGTTTCTGTGCAAGGGAAAGAGGCCTCCCCTCCCCCCTCTCATCTGAGTTTCCTTCCTTTAGCCTTCTGATAGAGATGCCAGGGGAGAGCCGAGACAGCTGCCCGGTCCTCCTTCCCCTGGACCAAAGGCGTAAACCCCTTCTGTGTTATACTAAATGCCAATACAATGTTAACTTCTTGCAAACCGGCTCTATCCCAGGCTCGTGTGCTTTGAAGACCTGATGTGCGAAGACTGTAGGCTGGCCGCCTCAAAACTCGAGGTCCATTTCCCCTTTCTCCCTGATTGGATCCTGAATTTCTTAGGGAAAGTCCTGCACACAAGCTAAAAGATAAGTTTTCTTAGTCTTTCTTGCAGCTAGATGTGGCCAAATGACTGACGCTGACCAACGAGGAATAAGTAGAAAGGCTGGATTATACTTCTGGGAGGTCCTTAGTAGAGAGGGAGTGAACCATGTCAGAATGACTGTCCTTATTCTCTTTTCTACATGGAAAGCAACCAGCAGCCATTATGGACCACACAGTGGTCTCGAGAAGGAAGCCAAGATGATAGAAGGAGCATGTGTCACTGATACCGTGGAACGCCCTACCAGCCCGAAATGCTACCTCCAGACTTTTGACATAAGAGGTAAATAAAGCTCTGTCTTTATAAGCTGTTTCTCACATGCAGTGGGAATCCCAGCAGATGCACGCGAGAAATTGTTGAAGGAACCTCTCTGAAATATTAAGCATTTGGTGTACTAAATACAATAGCAAACACATGCATTAACGATGCCAACAGTTTATCTTTTAGGGGTTCTGACTAACCTTGTATGTAGAGGTGGCTTGTCACCAAACAAACCCAGGGCAATGTATGTCTTTATTTCTTAGGGTACCGTCCTTAAAGATGCTGGGAGGCCCAGAAATCATGTTTTATGTTAAATAACTACCAAAATGCATGAGGACATTGTATATACTTCACTGTATGAACATTTTCAGTTGTGAGGATGTAAATATTTGCTTAAAGGAGGTGTTTAACTAAGAAGACTTACTTTACCAAGTGCCTACTGTTTGCCAGGCATTGTGCTAACCATTGCATAACCTTGTGTCATCTTTGCAGGTACAGACTATTCTCATTCTCACTTAACAGATAGGCGAATAGAAGGAATAAATTACTTGCCCAAGGTCACATTGCAAGGTCAAAAATCAGACCAAGGTCAGTCAGATTTCAGAACCTGTTATGAAATACCAAACTAAAGCATCTCCATGTTTATATTTTTCTAGATAGTCTTGACCATCCTATGTATTCTCCATCGAGCCATGTCCGAATGGCTGTCCTTGTTTTTGTAAATTAGAAGGTGAGAACCCTGAGAGGGCTCATTTATCCTTAAGGCACAGGTAGTCACGTTGTCAAGAGTCTGAATGAACCCCAAGGACAGAGAGAGCCAGAGCCATTCTCAGCAAAGTAACCGGGTCTCCTCCTCAAGTGTGATTTAGAAGTCTGGCTCTTTAAATTGAAAAACAAACGCACAAACAACAACCATCAAAGGTCATTGACACTCCATCTGGGAATATTAGAAGCGCCACTGAATTAATACAGGCAATCACATAGGTTGTTATATTTTAATCAGAATCAGGCATTAAATGGCATAAAATACTCTATATATCTCTTCACTGTTCCAAATCTCATAAACTTCGAACCGAAATATGACATAAGGAGTTTCAACAATTATTTTGACCAGCTTCCCCAATCCCAAAGGAGATTAAAAAGTAATATAAAAAAGTTAAGGTCAAGGTGCCTTAATATCACGGCCAATGACTAACCATTGTTTATCTCCTCCCTCAATGCCACTGAGCTTAACCTCCTGTCAAACAAGTGGTTAGTTACTAGTTCCCTGGGTGATTGTCCCTGAATGCAGGCCACGCTCTGGCCACACAGTAGGCACTTTAAGTGGGGTAGTTACCTCTTCTAGCTTGGGGCCAACGTTTGGCTCTCAAAGGCAAGATAAAGAATTGACAGTTAAGCCCTGGCCGGCGCGGCTTTGTGGCTGGCTGCGCATTGAAGGTTCACAGGTTCTATTCCCTCTCAAGGGCGTGTACCTGGGTTGCAGGTTGGATCCTGGCCCTGCCGGGGCCTGCGGGAGGCAACCAATGGATGTGTCTCACATTGATGTCTCTCTCCCACTCTCTCGTTCCCCCACGTTCACTCTTTTTAAAAATCAATGGAAAAGATATCTCCGGGTGAGGATTAACAAAAACAACGACAGTCAAACAGACTGTTCCGGGAGTCTGTGCTCTGGGGCGAAGCGCTGGGATTTCAGAGAATTCTCCAGCACAGCTGCACCAGATGTTGTGGGGACTCTGGGGGTTGCCGAAGAGGCTCATTTCCAGACAGCGGCACCATGGCCCACTCTGCTTTTCGTTCCAGTGTCCTGAGTGATGGGCCACCCACAGGGGCGCTCTCAACATTTAAGGAGCGGGCACGGGCACGCCATCATCAGCACGAGGCTGGCTGTAAACAGGCAGGGCTGCACCGCGCGCTGCAGACTCAGCTCAGCTCTGCGGAGCAATCACACCCAACGCCCCTGTGACACCAGCTCCGTTGCACGCGCCAATCCCCTCCCCTAATCCACATCGTCCACGTCTTCTCCGGCCGTGGCCGCTTCCAAAGCCGCCAGGGCCTCCGCCACATCCGCGTCTTCCTCCTCCGCCTCCCCACTCGCGTCTCCTGGGGTGCGGGGGGCGTCCTCCCACCCGTTTCTCCCATCGGCCACAGGCGCGGCCGGGGCGGGGTCCTCTTCTTTAAAGTGGACGCTCAGGACCTCCGCGGCCACTGCCCCGTTTAAGGAATCCCAGCGTTGCTTCCCCGGGAAGGAGAAGGGCAGGTTCAAGCCCTGCTCTCCCGCGCCTGGGCGTGCTTCCTCCGGGCGCTCCTCCTCGGGATGGCCCTGGAAAACCTCCTCTTTTTCTTCGTGATCCACTTCGTCGCCAGCCGAGCCCCAGTGTGGAGGGTAGTCCGGGGCTGGTATCTGGGGGACATGGTCCGGCACGTCCACCGTAGGACCCTCGGCCTCGGAAGAAACTCTGGAGTCTCCATTCCCCACGACTCCCGTCTCTCCTGAGGCCGGCAGCGCACAGTCCGTTTCCCTGGCACCCCCTCTTTCGAGGATGGGGTGAGCTGGGGGCACGCTGTTGGCGGTATTAGCCCAGGAACCTGTGCCACCCTGGGAGGGCCCAGGATCCCCAGGGGGCGGCAAGGCCGCCGCGGGCCCAATGCCATTGACAGCACCACCAGTCTTCTCCGCACAGGGCTCCCCTCCTGTGTCCCCTGGAGGGTGCGGCCCCTGGGGAGGCCAGCCGGGCTCCTGCGGCCCAGCCCTCCGGCTTCTGCTCCCCGTCCTCCTCAAGCCCTCCCGCTGAAGGTCATTTTTATGCACCAGGACTTCGCTGCTCTGTTTGCCTTTTAATTTAACAGTGTCCTCTTCCTCCAACTTGCAGCTGCTCACCTCGTTGACATAGCCGGGGGAGGGCACTTGAACGGGATCGAAGAGATAGCTGGGGGAGGGGAGAATAATGAGGGTCAGTCAGGTGGATTATTAACTTTATTTGTTCATCACTTTATTAATCACTAACTTCCATTATTAATAATCTCTACTACAGGCTCTGCTTCTCTTCCTGTTAATTTCTGTGTTTCGTTACTTATGTAAGCCTATATGTGTGTCTAAATCAAATAGATATAGTTGGCATAAAAGTGTTCTGCCACTGGAAATAGATCTTAAGATTCAAAAGAGGGTGGGAAGAAGATTCAGAACAAAGTTCATGGAATTTAAAAACAAGCAAAAAAAGTAAATAGAAAATAAAATAAATGTGCAAAATCAGGAAAATAACTGGTTACGTACTGAGGGTACATCTCCTCAATGGAATATTATGCAGTCATCAAAAGGATAAATATGAAGTCTGGACTAGCATGAAAGATACTTATAATAAACTAGAGGCCCGGTGCACAAAAATTTGTGCACTCGGGGGGCGGGGGGAGGGGGGTCCCCCAGCCCGGCCTGTGCCCTCTCGCAGTCTGGGACCCCTCGGGAGATAACGACCTGCTGGCCTAGGCCTGCTCCCGGGTGGCAGAGGGCAGGCCCAATCCCTAAGTGCAGCCCCTGGTCAGGCTCAGAGCAGGGCTGATTGGGGGGTTGGGGCACCGCCCCCTGTCACACTCAAGGCAGGGTCGATGGGGAGGTTGCGGCGCCACCCCCTGTCACGCACAGAGCAGGGCCAATCAGGGGGTTGGGCACTGCCCCCTGTCATGCACAGAGCAGGGCCCATCAGGGGGGTTGGGGCACCACCACTGTCACGCTCGGGGCAGGGCTGATGGAGAGGTTATGGCTCTACCCTGTCACACACAGAGCAGGGCC